GTGCCCCTGGTGCTGTCCCTGGAGCAGTGTTTGTTCACTTTTGATTTGGAAGTGAGAGCACTGGGTCACCTAAACCAATGGTTTCCAAGCCTATTTTGGCTATAGTTTTTTTTTGTTAAATGGGATCTTATATGGACAGATAATCATCTTGCACATTGTGAGAGATAAAACACAACTGGGTGTGCTAATGTTATTTAGTAGTTCCTTTTACTTAAAAAGAGCAGCTATTGTCTATTTCACTAATTGTACTTTTGTGTGAAGGTCAGTTACAAATACTGTTTTTTCATATTTATAGGACCAAGTTAACTCTTTTTTATTGGTGAAGTAGCTGACTGTTCTTAGTGTGATTTTTGGATGAGTCTTGAGTGGGAAGACTTGCCTCTTGATACATGGAAAGTACTCAGTAAATATTTGTTACACAGACACACACACACACCTACCTGCTAATGTGCCAGAGAATTATATTTCCTTTGAGACATTTCTTTCAGTTAATCTATTATGAATCTAGAAGGCCCTGTGATAACATGCAAATAATTCAGCCAAGGACCAATATCATAGTTTGCATTATTTCTCCAGTGAGCAGTCAGTTTGTAGCAGAGAGTCTATAAATATTGGACAGCTTAGAGAAGCAAAAGGGCAGAGCAGAAAGTGTCACTGTGTCTTTCCCTTCCCAATTTTTTACTTTGTTTGAAAGATTTGGTATTCATACATACAAGTATTTATTCAGTAACTACTGTAAGTATAAGGAAAAGCACTGTTCTAAATATGACAGTGGATACAAAAATTAAGAAGTTATAGGTCCTGCCTTCAAGGAGTTTACAATTGACTAACATAGGTAAGGCAACTATTTAAATGCATATAACATAAGATGGAGTGTGGTAGGTGCCATAAGGAAAATATAAACAAGGAACAAATTACTTTAAAGATGGGGAATATTTTTCCCAGCTGGTAGATACCCACATTATAATTTCCAGTTGAAAGAAAGAGAGACAGATAGCAAGAACTACCTATCTGTAAACTTAGAGAACCGTGAGATAGTTTACTACCCTCCTACTTTTATTTTTTAATCTACTTATGTGTCTTTTCTTTCTGATGAACTGTAATGTTCTTCATGGCAGGATATATTGTACTCTGTGTATCCGAAGTCCCTAAGTGTTCCTGGTTCATAAAATGCATTGGATAAATATTTGTTCAGTGGATGTGTGTATTACTGATAATCCAATTTTCCAATAAGAAAAATTCTATTTTTATAACACATATTCAACAAATAAATTCTACACAATTAAAAAGTACAGTTTTCTCCTCAGAGAAAATATTTTAAAAGGACAGCTTTTATAAGATTATATGCAGTTTGCACCATAAAGAAAGACTATCTGAGAAAAGATCAAATCTGATATTTATAAACCTGAATAAAAGGCAGAAGCATCTCTATTATCCACTTCAACTACACTAGTTGTGACAATATGTTTTTATGATATTTGAATGATGAGACCAGGACTTCAGTGAAAGTGAGTTATAAATAAATGTGTATTTCAATTGTAAGTGAAGGATAAATCACACTTAATCCTGTTTTAAACATTCACTAAAATTCTGAGTAGAAAATATTCATATTTAACAATAAAGTTTAAGGAAATGTTTTAATTTTATGATTGTCCATGGGGAGGAATATCGTAATTATAACCATCTTTGTATGTATTTTTCTCTGAGTACTTTATAACAATGTCATTGATCTTACTTAGAGTGTAAACTCTTTGAGGCAGTACCTTAAGTCAATTCAATGAACATATATGAAGTAGCTGCTTGGGTTGGGGTAAGATTCCTAAATTCAATAAATTGCAGTAACCAGGAACTAACAGACTACTGAGAGATATATACCATTATTATAGAGTAGATTAAAGTGATAGGAGTTTGCCCTGGATGGTTTGACTCAGCAGGGTTAGAGTGTAGGCCCGAGTACTGAAGAGTCTCGGGTTCAATTTCTGGTCATGGGCACATACCTCAGTTTTGGGTTTGATCCCCAGGTCCAGTCTGGGTTGTATGGGAGGCAACCAATCAATATGTCTCTCTCACATTGATATCTGTCTTTCTATCTTTCTCTCTCTCTCTCTCTCTCCCCCCTTCCCTCTCCCTCCCCTTCCTTCCCTTCCTCCCTCCCCTTCCCTCCCTATCTCCCTCTTTTTGTCCCTCTCTCCCTCTCTACCTCCCTCCCTCTCTCCCACTATGTCTGAAAAAAAAAAAAAAATCAATGGAAAAATATCCTCAGATGAGGATTAAAAAATAAATGAATAAAATAAAATGATGGGAATTTATTTAATAGTCTCACATACTAAAAGTCTGGAAGCAGGCAGCCAAAGGCTTGTCAGCAGCTCAACATTGTCATCAGAGGCTTGGGTTATTTTTTCTTCATGCTTTTATACTTACTGAGTGTGTTTTCATCCTCATGACTGAAAATTGCTACAGCACCTTCAGGATCTAGCCATGTTCCAAGTAGAAAGAAGGGAGAAGAACAAAAGCTTTCTCTTCTTAAAGCTATATATTTTTATTTGTAATGAGAAGCCTGCCCCAAGGACTTCTTCCTACATCTCATTGGCCAGAACTATATAGTATGGACACTTTTAGTGAAAAAGGAGGCTAGTGAAGACGGACGTTTTAGAGAGCAGCTAGCATAACCGAGCATCAGTGTTTGCAGTTACTCCTTTTCTTTTACCCTTTGAACTACAGACACTAATGCTCCTAAGAAAAGGTCAACTTATTTACAAATGAGGATATAGTAGTCTAAGAAATCTCTTTTTTGTCATTAAATGATTAATTTGTTAATTCAAATATTTAATTTGTTTTAAGTTTATTGAAAAATGCAGTACAAGAAGCAAGACCAAACACCTATCTAAACAACTACAGTCACTTCTCTTACTGCAAAGGCCCAACAGCAGACCTAATTATTGCCTATTTAAGCTAAGGATTTTGCCAATTTGATTCTGCTGCTATAGTTCCTATTTTGTCAAAAAATGTAAACAACTACTTAATATGATTCATAATTTTAAAAAATTTTACAAAGCTCCTTCATTTTTGTCATCAAAATAATACATACTTAATTTTCATTGCCTAATATGTACCATATATGGTATTAGGTACTGGGGATAACAACACTGAACAAAAAGATAAAGCTGTTGCTCTCATGGAGCTTATATTGTACTTAGTAGGCTATAAACAAATAAATATAAATATATTATATATTACAGATATATGGATATCAATATCTATAAAGAAAAGTAAAATAGGGTAAGGAAAATAGTGATGGTAGGTAATATTATATAGAATGTTTAACAAACACTCTCTGATGAGGTGATATTTTAGGAAAGACCTGAAAAAAATGAATAGATGGAACTATAATATCCGGGGAAGAAAGGTCCAAGTAAAGAAAACAGCAAAACAAAGACCCTAAAGAGAAATGTATTTGGCATGCTCAAGGACAAAGAACCAGTATAGATAGAGCACAGTGAACAAGGGGGGAAATGATAGATGAGAATAGTGGGAACTGTCATATGTTGGGCTTTGTAAGCCATAGCAAAGCTTTTACTCTTAGTGAAATGGAAAGCCACTGGAGGGTGTGAGCAGAGATACGCACAATCGAATTTACAATTTAAAAGGATTACTGTAACTGCTGTGTGGAGGATAAATTGTAATGGACAAGGATAGAAGCAGGGAGACCAGTTAGGAGGCTATTCAGTTTCCCAGGAAATAAGTGATAGTTCCAACTATTGTGGTAGTAGTGTAGATGGTGAGTAATGATCAGATTCTAGAGGTATTTCAAAGGTAGTTCTGACAAAAAAAAAAAATCAAGGATTTCTCAAAAGGTTTTAGACTAATAACTGGAAGGATAGAGTTGCTATTTACTGAGATAGGAATTGCAAGAGAATAAGACATTGTGTGGGTAGGATAGGAGGGTGGGAAATCAAGAGTTTGATTTGGACAGGTTAGGTTTGAATTGCCTGTTACATATCCCAGTGCATATTGGATGATTTATAAGTTTGGAGAGATATATATATATATATATATATATATATATATATATATATATATTTTATCCTCACCTAAGGACATTTTTCCATTTTTTGTTCAGACAGAGTAGGGAGAGAGAGGAAGAGAGAGAAACATCGAGTGGCTGCCACCCGCACAACCCAACCAGGGCCAGAGACAAACCGCAACCGAGGTACATGCCCTTAACGGGAACCGAACCAGGGTCTGTCTGGACCGCAGGCGGATGCTCTAACCTCTGAGCCAAACTGGCCAGGGTAGATATATATTTTTTTATTCACTGGTCGTTTGCATGACATACAAATCTAGAGTTGTGGGTAGAGGTTGGGATTAGAGATATAAAATTAGGAGTTTTAATGAATGGAGGATATTAATTCCGTGGTATTAGATGAGGTTATGCAGGGAGTAGCTATGTAATAACCTTTTTCTGTGTCTTTTTTCTGAAGAAAGAAAATTTTCTATGAAATCCTGGATAAGATCAAGTTTGGGTGGCATTTTATTAACTAGCTCATTAAATGTTCAAAGTTTAATACAATAGTTAAGAACATGGACTCTAAAGCCAGGCTACCTAGGTTTGAAATGTGGCTCTTCTGTTTCTAGTTCTCTGATTTAGACCAAAACATATAATCTCTAAACCTCTCTTCCTCATCTATAAATAAGGATAACAAGGTTGTGTGAAGATTGAGTTAAATTAGAACAGTGCCACAACACATAATAACACTCAAAAGAGATTAGGCAGTATCATCTTTAAAGTTCACCAAGTTTTGACACATAATATGACATTACTAACTTGATTTAGTGTTCTACCAAAGCAGGCTATATTTGGGAAGCAAGAGAAAATGTCTCACCTTGTAAACTTCATTTGCGGATATAAGAAATTGAGAGTTGTTGATATTTGTGTGTCAAACCCACATTTTTATCAGTGTTTCAGCATCATATTCTTACTTAATTATCTTCCTGTTTAGGTCACAGTGCTGTTGATATCACCAAGGTGGCTAGAAGACACCGCATGTCTCCTTTTCCTCTAACATCTATGGATAAAGCCTTCATCACAGTCCTGGAGATGACTCCGGTGCTTGGGACGGAAATCATCAACTATCGAGGTACTATAATATTTTCCCATTGCATTTTCATTTTTTCCCAAGTAAGATTCATAGACCATTAACAGTTTCCCAAAAGAAAAAGGTTATTAATTATTATCACAATTATTATCATTATTCTTTTTATTTTTTATTTCTACTCAACTCTAAGACCAGCCTTAATGGTATACAGAGTAAAGCACCCATAAAGCTTTCTTTTTTATAAAAACTTTTTAAAAAATGGATAAAAATCAACTGTGTCATGTTTATCAAAATACCAATACTATAAACCAAAGAGAGGACTGTTAGCCCTGAGTGAGGAAAATAGTTAACTCTGAGCCTTCCTGATGCCTTTTCTGTCAGAAATAGAAGATAACTGATGTGTCTTGTAATCATGTTTTCCTTTGTGGAAAATATGTTTTGCAATGTGAAAAGTACATTAGTTTATCCATGGATCACTGAGCAGTTTGATCTCAGTTTTTCTGCTTCATCTATCTTCTCATTTTCTGCTCTTAGTTTAGTAGCACACGGAGACCAGCTCGTGGAAAGATAATACAAACGTGGTATTCCCCAGTGTTTTCAGTGTTTAGTCAACTCCCCTTTCTTAAAAATTCAGCATGAAAATTGTATTTAGTGCAAGATGAATAAAATATAGTTTCTTAAATATGTTTGTTATACAGATAAAAACAATACATCATTGATTTTACATTACAAAGACTTTATACTTAGATTATAAAATAGCCCTGGCCAGTTTGGCTCAGCGATTAGAGTGTCCAGAGAGAAAGAGATTATAAAATAGTCTAACTTCAGTGAACATTAGAGAATATACAGATACCCTAATTTTTCTGCAAGGCACTTCAGACTCAGATTGAACAGTAAAAAAAGAAGAGTACTAAGGCTCAAGACTTACATTCCTCATTTTACTACATGATAGTTCTCTTCTTCCAGTATTCAAATGTAAAACATAATGAGAAGTAACAAAACAAAGTATGTTAAAATTAAAGGCCGAAAACTAGTGAAACTTGAAATGCCAAAATCTAGCTCTTTGTTCACTGATGCTTAAACAAATATTGTTTTTATATAGTTCACACTAACCCTATATCTTTGACTTGCATTCCTTTCAATATGTATATCAGTAGACTTAAACTTTTCTTTGGTTTTTGTATTACTCCTCATTAAAGGATGTAAAGATTAGACTCTCACTAGAGTGAGGAACTAGGTAGGAATTAACTGAGTGATTTCAAAATCAATTTTAATGAAATAGGTTTTTGCTATTATTAAATGTAGAATATTCAGATTTTTTTTTTATCCTCACCCGAGGACATTTTTCCATTTTTTTGTTCAAATAGAGTGGGAGGGGGAGAGAGAGAAACATCTACATGAAAAGGACACATCGAGTGGTTGCCACCTGCACGACCCAACCAGGGCCGGGACAAACCGCAAGCGAGGTACATGCCCTTAGCAGAACCGACCCTGGGTCTCTCCCGACTGCAGGCCAGGGCCAGATATTTTTAATATCAGTCAACACCAAGATGTATTCAGAAAACATAAATGTAAATTTAAGTAGTAAAAAAACAAAAATTTAAATAATGTTTTACCTATTAGAAACACAAATTATCCATCCCTGGCCTCTTGTAATTTTAGGGGAGTTTTCCTTAACATCAATTTTTAGAAAAATCTCAGTGTATGCTGAATCACATTTAAACAGAATTTTAGTCTTTTTTAAGGGGGTTAAAAAAAAAATAGAATTGAGCCCTGGCCAGTTTGGCTCAGCGGTTGGAGCATCAGCCTGCGGTCCGGAGAGACCCCGGGTTCGGTTCCCGCTAAGGGCACGGACCTCGGTTGCCATTTGTCCCCCACCCTGGTTGGGTCGTGCGGGAGGCAGCCAGTCGATGTGTCCCTTTCATGTCGATGTTTCTCTCTCTCTCCCTCCAACCCTCCCTCCCTCCAACTCTATCTGAACAAAAACTGGATAAATGTCCTCGAGTGAGAATTTTTAAAAAAAATAGAATTAAAAGTGCCCATTTATATATTTCCTCTAGGGAAAAAAAAGCTGTCAGATGGATTCTTTTTTCCCTTGATGTGCTTTTTTCCTCTTCATTTGTTCAGCAAATCAGTTGTCACTTATAAGTTAACAAACTCTTCATGGATGGTTAAATTTCTTGTCAAGTGTTTCACCTATGATGATGAAAAGTAATAGTGAGGTTTGCATTCAACCTTTGAGTTGGATCAAACTCAATTTTTAATGCAAAAGAGTATTATAATTAAACCTCCTAGGCACTTAAAGTAGGTGTTTTAAAAAACATCATATATAGAAACATAATTCATTTTGTTCAATAAATATTTATTAAACATCTACTAAATGTTAGGTATTATGTTAAGTCCTGGATAGATAAAGACAAGTTAAACACTCTGCCCCATGGATCTCACTGTGTAGTGCAAGAAAGAGACAGGTAAACAATGTGATATTTATTTATCGGCTCTTTGTAGGCTTGCCTTCCTTTGTCCATTCCTTAAATATAAACTTTCTTTAGCATTTTTGTTTTGGTCTCTTTCACATTTTGCATATGCACTTCAAATAATCTCTTGCATGCTAGTGATTTTAGCTGCCACCTATTAAATGATTTTTATATCATTTAATTTAGAAATGCCAGACTTTGCCTGAGCTCTAGACTTATACAAGTATGTACATGCTGCTAGTAAATTTAACGTGACCAAAACAACTTATTTTCTTTACCTCTGCAATATTTGCTTTCTATTTCCTCTTGAATCTATCTTGTTTTCCGTTTCCAAAGCTACCATTTTGGTTTAGGTCTTTATTATTGATTTCTGGATTATTGTCTAACAGAATATTGAAAATTATTCTTCTAAAGCAAGTGCCTAGCCCTGGTCAGTTTGGCTCAGTGGTTAGACCATCAGCCCATGGACCAAGAGTCCCGGGTTCAGTTCCCGCTAAGGGCATGTACCTTGGTTGTAGTTTGTCCCTGGCCCCGGTTGGGGTCATGTGGGTGGCAGCCAGTCAGTGTGTGTCTCTCACATCAATGTTTCTCTCTCTCTCTTCCTCCTTCTCTCCCTCCCGCTCTGTCTGAGGATAGATGCAAAAATGTCCTCAGGTGAGGATAAAAAAAATAAAGCAAGTCCCTAAATGTGCATGTATGTATAAAGTATTGTTTGTTTGTTTTCATCTGTTTTGGCTATAGATGTATTTTCTGTTATTTCTAGTCTGTCTTTTAGCATTTCTGCTATTTTCAGCTCCTATCTGCAAAAGAAGACCTTTAAGGAGCAAGTACTCCACTGATTATAAATACCTTCCTTTGATTTCTTGTGAAAGGCATACCTGGCATAACAGTGGGTGATAATATCTGTAAGACTGCCACTTATGGTTTATCTTTTTTGCTTATAAAATGCATGACATGAACAAATTACTTCACATTTGGTACAGTACTAGCTACTGTAAATTAGATTGAAATATTCTGGCACTGCCCTGGTCATTGTGGCTCAGTTAGTTGAGTATCATTCCATACACCAAGAGGTCACTGATTTAATTCCCATTCAGGACATATGCCTGGATTTAGGGCTCAATCCCTGGTTGGGGAGCATGCAGGAGGGAGCTGATCAATGTTTGTCTCTCCCTCTTCCTTTCTCTCTCTCTCAAAAAAAATAAATAACATGTTTTATAAAATATAATATTCTGGCACTATCCCCTATAATTCACAGTCTCCTTTAGTTAACAATGAAAAAACTATGAGCTCTCAATAGAAAGGATTTTGTTTTCTTAGGAGCATTATTTTAGATTACTAGTTCTAGGATCAGAGACTTCAGCATCTCTGACCTTAGTTCTTTGTTTTTCCACAGAAGACTTAAATAATTCTAGTCAAGGAACCTTTAAGCTTTGCTGTTGGAACTCATTTTGAAGCAGTGAAGTATCTCTTTTAGAATACTGACCATAGCAGGGGCATTTCTCCCTGTCTCTGACTTATAGTTAGATAACTACCTAAAGATAGGCAATTATCTTAAGTAGAAATTACTGTCCTCTAGAAGAAATTCAGAAACTCCTGATTTTAAACAGTAGGAGGTTCTCACCAAAATGGTTCACAACTCACAGTAGGAATTCATTAAGTCCTCATGAGGATTCAGGAGCTGCCAGAGAATAATGAAAAGGGAAGGTATACTGGAAGGAACTTTGCCATCACACAAACCCTCTCCTTGCTTTACTTTTAACTAGCTGAGAGATCTTGGGGAAGCTATATAATCTTTCTGATTCTTATTTCTCTCATACATAAAAATAGAAATAATGTCTACTCAATAAGGTAATTATGAGATACCATGAAAGGAAATAATATAAGCTGCCATATTTGGAATTTAATAAATGATTGATTTTCTTACCTTCTCCACGTAGGGATTCTGAGATCATAGCCCTGAGATAAGCACCTATAAATTACATTGTCAAAGCTAGAATTCCTTGGCTCAGCTCCATTTGTTGATCTTCATGAATAATCTCAGGATCCCTATACCTTTTGTTGTAGTCAAATTTACATGTTACCCATCTAGGTCATTCAGCCATGTGCTCCCTATCTCATTAGAAAATTTAACTAACCAGCAGTTTTCACTATTTTTTAGCTTATTTCTGGTTAAGCTTTACAAAATTGAAACAGAGAAATTGGGTAGTTATTAAAATATTTCAAGTGACAGCATGTATTTATTATCTAGATTACTGCCTCCAATTTCTACCTCCAGTCTAGTATTAAGCCTTCACCTAGGATAATCCCATTTACTTGCAAATACCTCCAGGGATATTGGTCTGTGCTGGCATTGGCTATAGATTTTTCCATGAATGTGGCTGCTTGAACTCATCCATAATTCCCCAAGTAGTCTCATCTCTTTAGACTCTTTAGTCCATAAACTTCCTTACACCTCTAAAATGCACCCATCTCATTATATCCTTTTATTTATATCATTTTATTTATATTATATTCTTTTATTTTCTTTTATAATTCTTCTTGCATTCCTCAAGTGTGAACATT